TGTGTCGCTGTCTCAGCGCAGGAGAGCTTCTCTTAGAGGAGTTCGTTTTCTGAGCCCTTCCATTGGCTCCTATGCAGGATTCCCTTGACGTGATGTGCATATGGATTTTTATGCGCACATCAATTTTACCATCACCTGATGGCATTTGTATCCCCCTCCTCACCTCTTCACCCTATCCCCCAACAAACTGTGATCCTGAATGCCCTGGAGGTGCTCGAGATGGTGAGAGAAAGGGGGTCTTTAGTCTGGTTTGTATGAGACTGGCTCTGCGTGTGTGTAAAATCTGCTCAATGCTGCAAAATATAAGGGGAATTTGCAAAGAGTGAAGATAAAGCAGGAGTTGTCCTTGATGTATGTTTGCTATACATCAAGGAATTGTTCTGCTGGCTTTGAGGTTTGGGTTGTAGGGAGCCTAGTTCCTCGCTTTCAATCCAAACTAATGTAAGATTTTTGGCATAATATTTCTGGGCCAGCCTGTCTCCTCCAGGGCATGAGAACAGCCCTACAGACCTCGATGTCATATGTGCTCTTCCTTCTCCCCTATCCCCACTTTTCAACCCACTGGTGAGATTACTGGAGTAAACAGGTTTTTTCCCTTAAATATGTCACTTATAAGCTATTTTTTCAAGTCAGTGAATATTTCCTGAGAAGACACAACCATCCAACTTTCCCAGAAATTCTTGAGAGAGATTTAGGAAAAGGAGAAATCTCTTGAGACACCCTCTGAAGGTGAATAGAAGAAAATACCTCACCAGCTGCTGTTTTATTCACCTGCAGAGCTGAGTAATTGTTACCAGCCTGATGACCTGCTGGTGGCCTGGGATTTCTCTGGCCCCTGAGAGGGTATGTGCTTAGCAACGTGCAGTGCCTGAGGCTTGACTTCTGCTGGCAAGTGCAGCTCCCACCCAGGAGCCTAGGGAATCTGGCTGTGCTAAAGATTACAGCTACTCACTGGTTAATTTACACAAGCATAAGCTCAGTTTTCTAAGCTGGAAAACCAGTGGATGTTGTGACAGTTGTTTTGTGTGGGTAGAAACTTTAGGGGTTGCTTTCCAGCATTGAATAGTAGAGACCCGTGTCTGGCCCAGTGTATTTTCCATTGATTTTCTTTTTTGTGGGGGTAGGGAGAGAGCTGGTCCTGAAACTTGCAGAGTCTGAGGAGAGATTTAGAGGAGTTAAAAGTGAACACCAAGAAAAAAAACCCCACCACCCTAATCTTACAATTCTTGTAATACCAAAGATAACGAATACATGCTTACTAGGTTAGGCGTTAACTCATGATAATAGACCTGTCTGTTTCTCATCAATTAGAAGCACAATCAAGCAAGTGAAGAAAGGTTAACAGCAGAATAATGCAATACCAGTTAGCAGAAGGAATGTTTGGGGGATAAATAGCACTTGTCAGATGTCATGTATTTAGACTGCAGTTTTATTTGATCATGGCTGTAGTAATCTGCAGTAGTAGATTACTGCTTAAATGTCTGTGTGGCTTTTTTACAGCATCTCATTGAGTCAGTACCACGTTTTGACTAAGAAACTGGAATAATACTTTCATAGTAGATTAAAAAGGGATAAACAATGACTTGTAACTATGAAAGGATTATTTGTGGCAAAAGAGTTCTTGCTAGACTTCATCGTATTTAGACTCTTTAGGTTTATATTTATTTATTCCAAGATATAAGAAAAACTATGAATGCTATTAATAATCTGTAGTGAACTATTAAAATATGAAATAATAAATAAAGTATATAAACTGGAAACTAATAAAAAAGCAAGAATACTATTGACTACTGCAAGTTCCCAGGTGACAGGGTAGCTAATGATGCTGGGTGGCTGCTGTGGCTGGTTGAAGCTGGTGCTGCTGCCAGGAGAGGCTGTGCAGCTTGTTGTACCCGGTCCCCTGGGAGGCAGCTTTCGCCCCCAGCCTGGTGGTTGATCCTTCGCAATTACTGTTCCATCATCAGTTGAAACAGAGTGATGAAAACTCAAGGAGGCGACAGAGAGCTGCTGGAACCAGGGAAGGGATTTGCACCGGCTGAGCAGTCTGTCCTGCCAGCAAGAAGGGTAGGGGCTGGCCTGAGCTCAGTTAATAAAACTATGGGATTGTTGGTATTTGAAACATTGTCTTGCCCACCCAATGCCTTCCCTCTGTTCTCCAGGAATTTAAATACCTCTCAGTTACAGCCGTTTCCATGGAGTTTTCATCTAACCTCTTTTACTGCAGGGCAGCTACTTACCCACAGATGACAGCTATTTGATGGTGCCGGCTTAGCTGTGGTCTCCCTCTGCACTGAGCGTGAGACTCTGCTTTGCTGTGAGATACACAGTTGCAGTCGTAGCCTTTATTTAGCTGTGGGGAAGGGAAGGAAAACCAGCAGAGCCTCAGGCCATAATCTTCTGGAACAGGATTAGAGGATCGCCTTCAGCTTCCTCTGTTCCCTGTCCAAAATGGAGTTTGAGAACTTGCAGAGAGAACTGTTCAGGGCAGCGTGTGCTGCAGCCTGCTGTTAGCTGACATGGATCTGAGGGACAGATGGGGTCTTCAGAGACTGAAAGTCAGCTTAGTAGGTCTTTGCTCTTGAAATACATTGTGTCAAGTTTAGCCAAACATGGGTGATACCCAAGGAAGCAGGAGGATAGCTTGAAGTTGGGAGGTTATGTGTCTATCACTAAGCACTGTTGTCCAAAACTTTCCTGTAAAGATTGATTATTTTTGTCACAGGTTCCTTTGGCAGAACTTACTTTGTCCCCAGATGCCAGGCAATGGCCTGCACAGCTGAGGCAGACACCACAGTCCGAGGATGGTGCTCAGATGGCTGTCAGTGAGCTTCACACATTTCGTTCATTCTGGCTGACACACAGAGCACTTTCACCCTCTGCATCCTGAAGCTTTTCTTTTTAAGTGCCCCCCCCCTTTCTTTTTTAACAAAATGATGGTTTATTAATTGAAGTTTTTTAAGAACACTTAAGTGACTTAGTAGAGCTTATTTGATACATATAATTCTATCAATTATAGTTCAATTATATTCTATCTATATAGAATCTATATCTAGAATATCTATATAGATATATATCTATATTCTATCTATAGAAATCTATATAGAATATATATCTATATTCTATCTATATATATATAACTATCAATTATAGTTCAATTATAGTTCTCTCCTAGTAGAGCTTATTTGATAGAAATCATCCATCAAAACTTTCTGATTTAGCTTCTCTAGATCTTACTTAAATGCATCAAATGCAGGAGAGCCTGCCAGGGTGATCTACTGCCTGCCTTGGGTTGTGACCAGGATTCCTGAGAGGGTTGCAGTTAAGAGACAGTGGTTTGATGAGGGCCCTGGTGCTGCGGGTGCAGTGTGGCTGTAACTTGTGCCAATAAATGGGAGGTGGCAGTGGGTGACACATAAACAAGGGACCGTTTCTCTGAGGAGGTATAACATCCATCGGTCAGGCTGAAACCCAGTTTCTTCAAATACATCACTTGAAAGCAGGAAATGCAGTTTCCTGAAGGGATGTTGCACCTCATCTAACCTAACTCTGATTCATAAAAAAAAATATTCTAAGATTTTAAAGCTGAGAAAGAGAAGTTGCTTTTCCTTTGACTGTACAGGTTGTTTGGCAGCACTGCCTGGTGTGTATGTGCTTTCTTGGGCCGGCTGTTGTGTGCAGTGCTGTTCTATTGCTTGTGGTCTGATGGTTGCTTTCTCTTCTAAACCACTGCATGAGAGTGCTCTCCAGAACATCTTGTTTCTCTCTTTGTAACACCTGCATAGCCCAACTGGCCATCTCTTTCTCTCACTCCATCCATACAGCTAAAGCTAAAAATGTCCCGTTATCAGCTCATGCCTGATCTCTGGCATGTCCTTCCTTCTGCATCGCAGTCTGCATCTGTGCTGCTCCAGACAGGCGGGTGGGCTCATAGCATGGGGCTTTAACCGTGTCGCTGCTCTTGTGACTCCCTCCCTTGCTCCTCGAGTATCTGCTGCCATGATCTCAGCTCTTGCACATTTACAGACCCGTACAGAAAACTGCCCCTCTGCTACCTCAGGTGAGGTCTCGTACGCGACGCCTTTTCCAGCCTTTCGACATCTCTGCTTGTCATCTCCAGCATTGCTTGTTTGCCACCCTGCTCAGTTCCTTTGTTCCATAGAGAAACATTACACTAACTCTTATGTTCCCCGACTCCTGCCTCCATCTCTCTTTGTATCCCCATTGCCTTTTGGTCTGTAGGCTGTGACCTTTCCAGTGTTTTCTTCTGTCAGTGCCCATTACAGAATGGGTTCTTCATCCATGACCTAAGTTTCATAGCAACAGTAATGATTAGCAGTGATTCTCAAATAATACTGAGGCATCTTGGCTCACATTTGAAACTAGAGCAGATTAGACAGTGTGGAACTCAGGAGTTCCATGGAGTTCGTGAGTCCACCTGTGTGACTCATGGTGTGACAATGAGAATTTCTTTGATTTCACATCTCGATAGACTGTCGTGGACAACAAAGGAGTGTAAATAGCACTGTCAACACTGGAAAACTCTCTGTTTACAAAACCCCACTTTTTGTCAAGTATTGACTGTTGCGCTGTTTCTTTTTCAGTACCAAGGAAATGTCAGAAGGCTCGTGAACACTTTGGTACAGTGAAAACACAGCTGGAATGTCTGAAGACCAAGTTTCCTGCT